TTCATGATGCCATCTATTTTGTGAAGTGCACCAGTCCCTCCTGCAGCAAAGCACCCCCACAGCATGATGCTGCAACCCCCGTGCATCACAGTTGGGATGGTGTTATTCGGCTTGCAAGCTGCCCCCTTTTCCTCCAAACATAACAATGGTCATTATGGCCAAACAGTTCTATTTTTGTTTCATCAGACCAGAGGACATTTCTCCAAAAAGTATGATCTTTGTCCCCATGTGCAGTTGCAAACTGTAGTCTGGCTTTTTTATGGCAGTTTTGGAGCAGTGGTTTCTTCCTTGCTGAGCGGCCATTCAGGTTATGTCGATATAGGACTCGTTTTTCTGTGGATGTAGATACTTTTGTACCTGTTTCCTCCAGCATCTTCACAGGGTCCTTTGCTGTTGTTCTGGGATTGATTTGCACTTTTCGCACCAAAGTACATTCATCTCTAGGAGACAGAATGTGTCTCCTTCCTGAGAGGTATGACGGCTGCGTGGTTCCATGGTGTTTATACTTGCGTACTATAGTTTGTACAGATGAACGTGGTACCTTCAGGCGTTTGGAAATTGCTCCCAAGGATGAACCAGTCTTGTGGAGGTCTACAATTTTTTATCTGAGGTCTTGGCTGATTTCTTTTGATTTTCCCATGATGTCAAGGAAAGAGGCACTGAGTTTGAAGGTAGGCCTTGAAATACATCCACAGGTACACCTCAAATTGACTCAAATTATGTCAATTAGCCTATCAGAAGCTTCTAAAGCCATGACATAATTTTCTGGAATTTTCCAAGCTGTTTAAAGGCACAGTAAACTTAGTGTATGTAAACTTCTGACCCACTGGAATTGTGATACAGTGAATTATAAGTGAAATGATCTGTCTGTAAACAATTGTTGGAAAAATTACTTGTGTCATGCACAAAATAGATGTCCTAACCGACTTGTCAAAACTTTAGTTTGTTAACAATACATTTATTGGAGTGATTGAAAAACGAGTTTTAATGACTCCAACCTAAGTGTATGTAAACTTACGACTTCAAGTGTAGCTAGCAACAATGACAAGAAGCTGCCTTGTGGGGAATCGTAGGTGGCTCGCTTCAGCTAGTTTTATCTTGTTGTTGATACCATGTCTAGCTAGCTAACCAACAACTCTAACAATGTATTTGAGAGACAGTGCTAATTGTACAAATGTATTTATGTTTTAAGACGAAATATAGTTTACATGTCAACAACCTAAGCTAACCTTGTCTGTTTTGCCCCATAGTTGTGCACGTGTCAGTTTTGTTCCTACACAACCAGCCCGTCTATATGGTCCCTAACATCGTTACCCCATAGCAACGACTGTGGGATGCATACACTCACACGCCCCCCACACACACCTACACCTCTCCCCTTCCACACATACACCCACCTACACGCACACACACACACACACACACACACACACACACACACACACACACACACACACACACACACACACACACACACACACACACACACACACACACACACATAAGCATCCGACCACAAGCTCAGTTGTTAATCAGTTGTTCCATCACCGAGCCCAGCTTAAGAATAAGACTTGCCGTGTGAATACGTATACCATTGTAGCTGTTCAAGAGGAGTGCTAAATTGAGCAGGGATGGGAAGATTTGATTACCCAATGTCTAGTCCTGGCTGATAGAGTTCAGATACCCCCTTCCCTCCAACACACACACACACACACACACGCTGTTCGTCCATGGAGACCCTTCTTCCCCGGCACCTCTGTGCAGTCAGACCATTATGATTATGCTGTGCTGCCAGGGCCAAAGTATTCTGCCCCTTCTCCGATTGTCCGAGTGTGACCCTCCCCCCATGGGTTACCCTTTACCTGGGTGTGGGTATTCCACCGGAATTCCAACCGGCTAGGTACGAGATCATCAAGGTTCTCTTAGAAGCTTTGAGAATATTATGCTCACCCATATGGGGGCTTTGGCTTAGTTGGACCAACGCTGCCAGGCAGGCTCAGACTCATCGCTGTGTTTCCCTGAGCATTCAACCAGTGAGTGAGTGGACAACTAGATTCAAACCTCTCTGTATGCATACAGTACATCAATAAAGAATAGATGTATTCTCTGTCAATATGCTACAGTATGAAAGCCAATACATCATGTGTTGACATCATGAGAATAATCAGCAGAGGCCATTGATTTTTCTCTTTGGTTTTTGTTTGTTCCCAAGGCAGCTCCTGTTGCTATGTACTTGGCTGGAAATCTCTTTTCCTAGCGGATATCCCTCAGCATACATTTACATTTACATTTTAGTCATTTAGCAGACGCTCTTATCCAGAGTTAGTGAGTGCATACATAATTTTTTGAATTTTTCATACTGGCCCCCCGTGGGCATACGCACTTTATAGTCTAATGTCTTTCAAAGCCAAGCATCCAGATGTAATAGTAAGATTTGAAAACCACCCCATGTTAAGCTCAGATGAGAACATCTGGATAGTTTGATGATAAACAACCGTAATAGTCTGGTCTGTCAGTCACACACACTGATAGCTTCATGAGGCATATGAGGACATACAGTGGGGGAAAAAAGTATTTAGTCAGCCACCAATTGTGCAAGTTCTCCCACTTAAAAAGATGAGAGAGGCCAGTAATTTTCATCATAGGTACACGTCAACTATGACAGACAAATTGAGAATTTTTTTCTCCAGAAAATCACATTGTAGGATTTTTAATGAATTTATTTGCAAATTATGGTGGAAAATAAGTATTTGGTCACCTACAAACAAGCAAGATTTCTGTCTCTCACAGACCTGTAACTTCATCTTTAAGAGGCTCCTCTGTCCTCCACTCGTTACCTGTATTAATGGCACCTGTTTGAACTTGTTATCAGTATAAAAAAGACACCTGTCCACAACCCCAAACAGTCACACTCCAAACTCCACTATGGCCAAGACCAAAGAGCTGTCAAAGGACACCAGAAACAAAATTGTAGACCTGCACCAGGCTGGGAAGACTGAATCTGCAATAGGTAAGCAGCTTGGTTTGAAGAAATCAACTGTGGGAGCAATTATTAGGAAATGGAAGACATACAAGACCACTGATAATCTCCCTCGATCTGGGGCTCCACGCAAGATCTCACCCTGTGGGGTCAAAATGATCACAAGAACGGTGAGCAAAAATCCCAGAACCACACGGGGGGACCTAGTGAATGACCTGCAGAGAGCTGGGACCAAAGTAACAAAGCCTACCATCAGTAACACACTACGCCGCCAGGGACTCAAATCCTGCAGTGCCAGATGTGTCCCCCTGCTTAAGCCAGTACATGTCCAGGCCCGTCTGAAGTTTGCTAGAGTGCATTTGGATGATCCAGAAGAGGATTGGGAGAATGTCATATGGTCAGATGAAACCAAAATAGAACTTTTTGGTAAAAACTCAACTCGTCGTGTTTGGAGGACAAAGAATGCTGAGTTGCATCCAAAGAACACCATACCTACTGTGAAGCATGGGGGTGGAAACATCATGCTTTGGGGCTGTTTTTCTGCAAAGGGACCAGGACGACTGATCCGTGTAAAGGAAAGAATGAATGGGGCCATGTATCGTGAGATTTTGAGTGAAAACCTCCTTCCATCAACAAGGGCATTGAAGATGAAACGTGGCTCGGTCTTTCAGCATGACAATGATCCCAAACACACCGCCCAGGCAACAAAGGAGTGGCTTCGTAAGAAGCATTTCAAGGTCCTGGAGTGGCCTAGCCGGTCTCCAGATCTCAACCCCATAGAAAATCTTTGGAGGGAGTTGAAAGTCCGTGTTGCCCAGCGACAGCCCCAAAACATCACTGCTCTAGAGGAGATCTGCATAGAGGAATGGGCCAAAATACCAGCAACAGTGTGTGAAAACCTTGTGAAGACTTACAGAAAACGTTTGACCTGTGTCATTGCCAACAAACGGTATATAACAAAGTATTGAGAAACTTTTGTTATTGACCAAATACTTATTTTCCACCATAATTTGCAAATAAATTCATTAAAAATCCTACAATGTGATTTTCTGGAATTTTTTTTCTCATTTTGTCTGTCATAGTTGACGTGTACCTGTGATGAAAATTACAGGCCTCTCTCATCTTTTTAAGTGGGAGAACTTGCACAATTGGTGGCTGACTAAATACTTTTTTTCCCCAATGTACGTGTGGTGTCCCAGCAAACCAAAATTGGTTTTGTAAAAGTTCCCAGAACATTCGTTAGGTCACGGCAAATGTTCTCATAACACAAACACTGTCCAGTCGGGCTGATGATTATAGAATGTTTGTATAAAACATTCGCCTGATGTTGCAAGAACATTCTTAGAACACATGTCATTTGTTCTTTAAAGGTATACAAACATTGTATAATCAACAGCATGAATGGACAGTTTTTGTGTTATGATAACATTTGCCGCAACCTAACGAATGTTCTGAAAACTTCCACAGAACCAATTTTGGTTTGCTGGGAAAACGTTACTTGTACATTGTGTTATTACTTTACCTGGAAACCTAATGAGAACTTTGGGGAATGTTCTGTGGTGGTTGTTACAGATGTTGTGCAGAACATTTTAGTGAATGTGAGGAGAATATTCAAAGGATATTTCAAACATGTATTTATTTATTTTTATTTTATGATTTTGTTATCAAAAACTGTTTTCATCCTAATGTTAGATAAAACCCTAACTAGAACTTAATGGAAATCGTATCTAATGTACTGGGAATGTTCTCGGTTTGCTGGGGTGTGTGATACACATTGTAAGATTATGTGTGGACTGTGGTGTAAAACACATGTTAAGATTACATGGGCAGCTGAGGACATCTGTTAGAGTAGTCCGCCCACGGGTGAAGGGATACGGGGAAGGATGGTCTGTTGCACCTTGGATGAACTGTGCAGTAGTATTTGTAACAAACAATCTGGATGTGTGAGATATAGTCTGCCACTCTTGGAGGATAATGGTAGTTGAATGGAAAATGCTACTGTTAAAAACATTTAAAATTATTAAAAACCTTTTTTTCCAACTTCCACTGTCCTCCAAGATTGTCTGAATCTCTCCCAAACAACACTTCCTATCCTCTGTTGGAGTTGGTGAAGAAGGGATGTAGTGATAGAGGGATGAAGAGGTGTCAGACTCACCTCTGCGGAAATGCGTCGGTTGCCCCTGTTCCTTAGACACACTCCTGTGGGAGACTGCACCTCGTCTGAGCTCGTCCCTGATGCATGGTCACTCTCTCCATCAGAACCCATCTTCATGTTCTCATGGACAATGTCTGAGAGAGGGGGAGAGAAGGGGGGCGGGACAGAGACAGACAGATTTTTGTCATGAAGTCAACATTTCAAATAAATGTGTTTGATAAGACCAGGGGGCCCCATAAACGTATGAGTGAGGTTATTCTTTCCATCAACTCAACTTGATGTCATCCACAGCTGCTGCTGGGAACTATAGCAGCCACTCCCTGGTTAGTTTCCACTGTCCTGCCCTCTCCCCTGACTCAAATGACAGTGTGTGTGTTTGTGTGTCCATGCCCGTGTGTGTGTGTGTGTCTCACCGAGGCGGCTGCCGTTGCGGGGCATAGCCATGAGAGGCCCTAGCCCTCCTCCTCCTATGACACTCTGAGGTCTCCGTAGTGTGGGCTTCTTAAAGGGACCTGTGTACTGGTGCAGGAAGGAGTGAACACTGTGGACTGAGGGGGGGCGACCGTGACCGTTCCTCACCATTGGCTCTGTGGAGGGGGAGAGAAGAGAACTATGTGACAACCAGTTCAGTTCAGTCCAGTACATACAATTCAGAGCTTGGCTTAGAGCACCATCTATCATACTGTAGGTAGAGTCAGGAGGCTAAACCCTGTTTTAGTCAGGTCATATGGTCAAAAACAACACAGGGCCTTTAGGTATAATCATGGAGGTACGTATTCAATGTTTTCCATAAGCACCGGCCGTCCGCTAAATAAGAGTCATTGTCAGCCGGCTAATTTTTCCACTTCATTAATCCGTGCCGAACCCTCAGCAAAATATCTGCTTTTTATTTATCTGACTTTCATTTATCTGAATGTCCAACCCTTACACAGTGCCTTCAGAAAGTATTCACACCCCTTGACTTTTTCCACATTTTGTTGCGTTACGAGGTGGGATTATAATGGATTTAATTGTCATTTTTTGTCAACGATCTACACAAAATACTCTGTAATGTCAAAGTGGAAGAAGAATTCTACATTTGTAAAAAAATAAATAATAATAATAATAATATATCTTGATTAGATAAGTATTCAACCCCCTGAGTCAATACATGTTAGAATCACCTTTGGCAGCGATTACAGCCAAGTCTTTCTGGTTAATTCTCTAAGAGCTTTCCACACCTGGATTGTGCAACATTTGCCCATTATTCTTTTCAAAAGTCTTCAAGCTCTGTCAAATTGGTTGTTGATCATTGCTAGACAACCATTTTCAGGTCTTACCATAGATTTTCAAGCAGATTTCAATCAGAACTATAACTCTGCCACTCAGGAACATTCATTGTCTTCTTGGTAAGCAACTCCAGTGTAGATTTGGCCTTATGTTTTAGGTTATTGTCCTGCTGAAAGTTGAACTAATCTCCCAGTGCCTGGTGGAAGGAAAGCAGACTGAACCAGGTTTTAATCCAGGATTTTGACTGTGATTAGCTCCATTCATCTTATTTTTTATCCTGAAAAACTTTCCAGTCCTTAACGATTACAAGCATACCTATAACATGCAGCCACCACTATGCTTGAAAATATGGAGAGGGGTACTCAGTAATGTGTGTATTGGAATTGGCCCAAACATAACACTTTGTATTCAGGACAAAAAATCTAAATCAAATTTTATTGGTCACATAGACATATTTAGCAGATGTTATTGCAGGTGCAGCGAAATGCTTGTGTTCCTAGCTCCAATAGTGCAGTAATATCAAACAATTCACAACAACGCACACAAATCTAAAGTAAAATAATGGAATTAAGAAATAAATAAATATTAGGACGAGCAATGTCGGAGTGGCATTGACTAAAATACAGTTGAATAGAATACAGTATATACATATGAAATCAGTAAAGCAGTATGTAAACATTATTCAAGTGACTAGTGTTCCATTATTAAAGTGACCAGTGATTCCATGTCTATGTATATAGGGCAGCAGTCTCTAAGGTGCAGGGTTGAGTAACGGGTGGTAGCCGGCTAGTGACGGCTATTTAACAGTCTGATGGCCTTGAGATAGAAGCTGTTTTTTCAGTCTCTCGGTCCCAGCTTTGATGCACCTGTACTGACCTCACCTTCTGGATGGTAGCGGGGTGAACAGGTCATGGCTCGGGTGGTTGATGTCCTTGATGATCTTTTTGGCCTTCCTGTGACATCGGGTGCTGTAGGTGTCCTGGAGGGCAGGCAGTGTGACCCCGGTGATGCGTTGGGCAGACCGTACCACCCTCTGGAGAGCCCTGCGGTTGCGGGCAGTGCAGTTGCCGTACCAGGCAATGATACAGCCCGACAGGATGTTCTCAATTGTGCATCTGTAAAAGTTTGTGAGGGTTTTAGGTGATAAGCCACATTTCTTCAGCCTCCTGAGGTTGAAGAGGCTCTGTTGTGCCTTTCTTCACCACACTGTCTGTTTGGGTGGTCCATTTCAGTTTGTCAGTGATGTGTACGCCGAGGAACTTTAAGCTTTTCACCTTCACTCTGGTCCGGTCGATGTGGATAGGGGCGTGCTCCCTCTGTGGTTTCCCGAAGTCCACGATCAGCTCCTTTGTTTTGTTGACACCATTCCGCCAGGGCCCTCACCTCCTCCCTGTAGGCTGTCTCTTCATTGTTGGTAATCAGGCCTACTACTATTGTGTCGTCTGCAAACTTGATGATTGAGTTGGAGGCCTGGGTTGCCACGCAGTCATGGGTGAACAGGAGTACAGGAGGGGGCTGAGCATGCACCCTTGTGGGACCCCAGTGTTGACGATCAGTGAAGTGGAGGTGTTGTTTCCTACCTTCACCACCTGGGGGCGGCCCGTCAGGAAGTCCAGGACCCAGTTGCACAGAGCGGGGTTCAGACCCAGGGCCCCAAGCTTAATGATGAGCTTGGAGGGTGCTATGGTGTTGAAGGCTGAGCTATAGTCAATGAACAACATTCTTACGTAGGTTTTCCTCGTCCAGATGGGATAGGGCAGTGTGCAGTGCGATGGCGATTGCATCATCTGTGGATCTATTGGGGCGGTACGCAAATTGAAGTGGGTCTAGGGTGTCAGGTAAGGTAGAGGTGATATGATCCTTAACTAGCCTCACAAAGCACTAGTCTCTCAAAGCACTTCATGATGACAGATGACATATAGGTAATTGCTTTGCCACATTTTATGCAGTATTACTTTAGTGCCTTGTTGCAAACAGTTTTACGACGCCGAACTGCAGTCAGGTCAAGTCCCTGGTGAGGATAACGAGTACGCAGATGAGCTTCCCTGAGACGGTTTCTGACCGTTTGTGCAGAAATTATTTGGTTGTGCAAACCTACAGTTTCATCAGCTGTCTGGGTGGTCTCAGACGATCCCGCAGGTAAAGTAGCCGGATGTGGAGGTCCTGGGCTAGTGTGGTTACACGTGGTCTCCGGTTGTGAGGTCGGTTGGACGTACTGCCAAATTCTCTAAAATTACATTGGAGGTGGGTTATGGTAGAGAAATGAACTCTGGTGGACATTCCTGCAGTCAGTATGCCAATTGCATGCTCCCCTCAAAACTTGAGACATCTGTGGCATTGTGTTGTGTGACAAAACTGCACATTTTAGAGTGGCCTTTTATTGTCCCCAGCCCAAGTTGCACCTGTGTAATGATCATGCTGTTTAATCAGCTTCTTGATATGCCACACCTGTCAGGTGGATGGATTATTTGGTCAAAGGAGAAATGCTCACTAACAGGGATGTAAAAAAAAAATAGTGCACAAAATTTGCTTTTTGTGCGTATGGAACATTTCTGGGATCTTTTATTTCAGCTCATGAAACTTGGGACATTTTATTTGCCACAATAAAATAAATTGACAATTCCCCACCCACAGCGATTGATTGACAGGTCTGAAACCCTACCAACTCTGTGACTCACAAACATTCTGCCCCCTCCCCTGACAATCCCACCCACAGCGATTGATTGACAGGTCTAAAACCCTACCAACTCCGTGACTCACACACATTCTGCCCCCTCCCCTGACAATCCCACCCACAGTGATTGATTGACAGAACTAAAATTACAAAATGACACATTGGTTTCCTTACCCTAAGCGACCACAGTAGCACAGCCAATAAAATGCATAATTTGTAAATATTACTTCAATCTCAAGAGGAGAAGTTTAATGTTAAAAAGGTTATATCTATAGTCCTGATCATATAGGCCTAGGCGATATCCAAAAGAACTAACAACACACTGAATTCATACATTTTCAGTCATTTAAAAAATTGTCAAAAAAATTATACTCAATACCACAACTTATTTGACCAATCTGGAAAGGTAAAGTGGTTATTCGAAGAATTCAATAATTTCGCTGTGTATTTCAGGTGGAATCAAGGCATTAGAATGTACCAGAGGCCACCAAAATAGAGCTTTTCTGCGATTTTCTTTTCCAGGGCCGGAACTCCCTGGCTGGCTACTTTTTATATTTGGCTGGCTACTTTTTATATTTGGCTGGCTACTCCTTGTACTTACGGAAAACACTAGGTATTATTAGGCCCTGTGTGTGGAAAGATATGAATCCATGTATAGACAGAAAGAGGGATATAGAGAGCAGCAACAATAGGTTGAAGATCAAGGAGGAGGAAGAACATTACATTAGAGACGAAACAAACAATGTCCGTCAACACAACAGATGACCACAAACAAACTCCATCCCACGCAGTTACTAGATAACACATACACGCGCACACACACTAAATCTCTTGTCCCACTACTCCTGCTGTGTGCTGCTGTTATGTTGTGTTACACAAATCAGATCAAGGCAAGGATATTAGGTTTCATCCCAATGACACCATGGTGGGTTCATCTGATCTCATCTATCTGGCCACTCCATTCTGTCTCCTCTCGCTCTATGACTTGTACTGTCACAAACACGTTAGAGAGTGCCGCAACGCACTCCCCTCCGCACAGAATGTACAAGCACCATGCTCATGGGAAATATCACAATCACACACATAAAAAGAGAACACACACACAAATAAATCCTCCTACGTACACACACAACTTTAATATTACACACACACACACACACACACACACACACCTTGTATGTCCCTATTCAGGAGCAGGGAATGGTCAGGCCAGATCTGGAGTTAAATAACAGACAAAAAAACTTAGATGAGCTGATTGAGTGAAAACAACATCCTCTGTTGGAGAAAAGGAGAGGGGAGCAAGGGAAAAGGAGAGAAAATGAGAGGGAAGCTGAAGCTGTTGAAAAATTTAAGAAGGGGCGAGCTGGGGAAAATCTTGATAAAGCCAGGAGAGGAAGAGAGAGAAGGGGAGAGAGAAAACGGAGGAGGAGGAGAGAAATGTGCTTCAAGATGCCCAGCTGCTTTCACAGTCCTCCCAAAGTCGCCGTGGCAATGTCATGGAAACTCTAGAATGTTCCAGACCCTGAACAGGCAGCACCATAGCAACGCCATAGCAGCCACCGTCAACACCAGACGCTAGACTATACCAAGCTGAGCGATTATAACCAGCTATGTCACCTTATCTTTGTTTTGACGCCTCGCCGGCTACAACCTTCACTGGACTCTAACATGAAGAAGTAATACTGATGATATGTGTGTGTTCCGGATGTTAAAGAGAAAAAGTGTGTGTAGTGTGTACAGTCAAACAACACATAGCCAGACAGTCTCATTCATTGACTTACAGTGCATTTGGAAGGTATTCAGACCCCTTTACTTTTTCCAAATTTTGTTACGTTACAGCCTTATTCTAAAATGGATGAAAAAATTATAATCTCATCACTCTACACAATACCCCATAATGACAAAGCGAAAACAGGTCTTTAGACATTTTTGCAAATAAAAAACAGAAATACCTTATTTACATAAGTATTCAGACCCTTTGCTATGAGACTCGAAATTGATTGATTGGACATGATTTGGAAAGGCACACACCTGTCTGTATAAGGTCCCACAGTTGACAGAGCATGTCAGAGCAAAAACCAAGCCATGAGGTGGAAGGAATTGTCCGTAGAGCTCCGAGACAGGATTGTGTCGAGGCACAGATCTGGGGAAGGGTACAAAAAAAGTCTGCAGCATTGAAGGTCCCCAAGAACACAGTGGCTTCCATCATCATTCTTAAATGGAAGTAATTGGAACCACCCAGACTCTTCCTAGAGCTGGCCACCTGGCCAAACTGAGCAATCGGGGGAGAAGGGGGAAAAGGGCCTTGGTCAGGGAGGTGACCAAGAACCCGGTGACCACTCTGACAGAGCTCCAGAGTTCTTCTGTGGAGATGGGAGAACCTTCCAGAAGGACAACCATCTCTGCAGCACTCCACCAATCAGGCATTTATAATAGAGTGGCCTGCCACTCCTCAGTAAAAGGCACATGAAGGCCACTTGGAGTTTGCCAAAAGGCACCTAAATGACTCTCAAACCATAAGAAACAAGATTCTCTAGTCTGATGAAACCAAGATTCAACTCTTAGGCCTGAATGCCAAGCGTCACGTCTGGAGGAAACCAGGCACCGCTCATTACCTGGCCAATACCATCCCTACGATGAAGCATGGTGGTGGCAGCATCATACTGTGGAGATGTTTTTCAGCGGCAGGGAGTGGGAGACTAGTCAGGATCGAGGGAAAGATGAACGGAGAAAAGTACAGAGCACTTGATGAAAACCTGCTACAGAGCGCTCAGGACCTCAGACTGGGGCGAAGGTTCACCTTCCAACAGGACAACGACCCTAAGCACACAGCCAAGACAACACAGTAGTGCCTTCGGGACAAGTCTCTGATTGTCCTTGAGTGGCCCAGCCAGATCCCGGACTTGAACCCGATAGAACATCTCTGGAGAGACCTGAAAATAGCTGTGCAGTGACGCTCCCCATCCAACCTGACAGAGCTTGAGAGGATGTGCAGAGAAGAATGGGAGAAACTCCCAAAATACAGGTGTGCCTAGCTTGTAGCATCATACCTGTGTAGCTCAGTTGGTAGAGCATGGCGCTTGCAACGCCAGGGTTGTGGGTTCGTTTCCCACGGGGGGCCAGTATGAAAAAAGTATGAAAATGTATGCACTCACTAACTGTAAGTCGCTCTGGATAAGAGCGTCTGCTAAATGACTAAAATGTAAATGTAAGACTCAAGGCTGTAAACGCAGACTAAGGTGCTGAGTAAATGTCATATTTCTAATTTTTTTTATATACATTTGCAAAAATGTATAAAAACCTGTTTTTGTTTTGTCATTATGGGGTATTGTGTGTAGATTGATAAGGCGGGGAAAACTATTTCATACATTTTAGAATAAGGCTGTAACGTAACAAAATGTGGAAAAAGTGAATGGGTCTGAATACTTTCCGAATGCACTGTACATTACATCCACATAACCACACATTCTCTCTCTCACACACACACACACACACACTCACCGCTGTCTTTGATGCCGTTCTCCTCTATAGTCATCTGTTCAGCCCGTTCAGACAGAGACTCATCCATGGTCTGACTACCTCTCAGAGTCTGGGACAGCCTCCTTCTGAACCTCTTCATCTTCTCCATGGAGCTCTCGGGCAGGGGAGGCCTGGGGATGGAGAGAAGAAGGGGACAGTCAGTTACACACACACACACAACAGGCCTGGGGAGAGACAAGATTCATCAAAAGAGAAATAGATACCCCACACACCGTTATTGTTAAATGCTCCCACTGTTTATTTTGTTGAGTGGAATGTTACCGCAGACAGAGGAGTCGGACACAGAGAGGCAGTGAAGAAAAGCTACTGAGGACACACACACTCAAACAAAGAGGGCCGATAAAGCCTTAGAATACATATGGCCGGGAGTTCTTCTTGATCAGCCCTGGAATATGATATAAGGCCTTCAAAGTGAACCAGAGGGTAAAGTGGGTCTTTCTTTGACAATAACTGACAGTGCTTGTGCTTGAGAAAGCTTGACAAATAGTTGATCTTGTAACATAAGTGTGCGTGTCAAAGGGTGTGCTTCTTTTGAAAAGCACTCCACTATCATGTACGTGTGAGTAAGAGGTCTGAACAGGCCCCAACATGTTCCTGGGCTAGTCCCCTAATAAATATTGCTTTCAAAGAGTTCACAAAGAATATAGCCATCAAACACACCTCAAGCACCTTGAGCTATACACACTAATACCACATCTATAGCAAAATGAGTTTAAAAAAAATTATAACCATCAAACACCACAAACTACCTCAAGATAAATATCCTAGTAATCCCACATCCATAGTTAAATGAAGACATTGCAGGATACAAGATTTATAGCTACTGACTGGAGCAAACACGAGACGCCATCAACACTCAAGGAAACAGGCCTAATTTAGGAGTCAGTCACAGAGCCTAATTAATTTCCCACACTGGAAAAACCTGATGTATTGGGAGAGATCATCATTCATGTAGCTACGGGATGGGACTAATCTTGTGTGAAGAAGAACCTAGTGATCAACACATACAAACATAATTTCGACCTGAGTTATACACTGAGTGTACAAAACATTAGGAACACCTGCTCTTTCCGTGACCTCGACTGAATCCAGGTGAAAGCTATGATCCCTTATTGATGTCACCTGTTAAATCCACTTCAATCAGTGTAGATGAAGGGGAGGAGACTGGTTAAAGAAGGATATTCAAGCCTTGATACAATTGAGATTTGGATTGCGTATGTGTGCCATTAAGAGGGTGAATGGGCAAGACAAAAGATTTTAAGTGCCTTTGCACGGGGTATGGCAGGTTGTCGGTGCCTGGCGCGCCGGTTTGAGTGTGTCAAGAACTGCAACGCACCAAAGAACATCCAGCCAACTTGACACAACTGTGGGAAGCATTGGCGTCAACGTGGCCCAGCAACCCTGTGGAACGCTAGACACCTTGTAGAGTCCATGCCCCGGCGAATTGAGGCTGTTCTGAGGGCAAAAGGGGGGTGCAACTCAATATTAGGAAGGTGTTCCTAATGTTTTGTACACTCAGTGTATAACAGTCCTCGTAACTAATTTCCAACAGTGGAAAAACATGATGAATTGGGAGAGATATATGTTTTATTCATAGGGGATGGAACTAATGTGAGGCTACTTGAGTGAACAAGAAAGAACCTATCAACATTCAGGGAAAAATACATATTTTTTACAGTAGTAAAATAGGCTAATGAATTTCCCACACTGGAAAAACGTGATGTATTGGAAGAGATGGACAGAGTGATGGCACAGTCCATGAACTGTGTTAGCAGATGGTAAATCAAGGGATTTATGAGAGAATGGAGAACAGGACTAGCATAGGCTGCATCCAGTTCAAGTCACATTCCATCACCATTCAGTGTGAGGGAGAGAGAGAGTGTGTTTGAGAGCGAGAGAGAGAGAGATAGGGAGAGAGAGTGTGTGTGCGTGTTTGAGAGCGAGACAGAGAGAAATAGAGAGAGAGAGAGAGAAAGTGAAAGAAAAGAGGGAGAGAAAATAATTGACAGAGAAGGGAGTGAAAATAAAGGACATGCTGGCGAGAGAGGTGAGAGAGTGAAGTGAATGAGGTTGTTTTTCAACCTGCTGATTCAGATCTCTCCCACCCTGCCAAATGTTATCTGACCTTAGTGAGGGGGAGATTACAACTCTACTACACTTTCACAGATATGGACATGTGTCTGTTTGTCTGTCTGTACTGGGGATGAGTAATAAGAGACATGAAGCCACATGAGCTAGGCCCTGAAGGTCTGTCTGTCTACTACTCTCCATTACAAGCCTTTGTCTTCCCAAACATCACTCAGGAGCTGGAGAGAGTTCTCAAACAAAACATGGAGTAGGGCAGGGGGGAAAGTTGTTTTGAAGGAAAGAGCAGAGCTACTAAGCTAAGCTACCATCCCGTCACTGTCTCTGACGCATAGCTCCCCATTCGTTCACTGTCTCTGACACATAGCTCCCCCATTCATTCACTGTCTCTGACACATAGCTCCCCCATTCATTCACTGTCTCTGACACATAGCTCCCCCATTCATTCACTGATCAGGGATAATTGGTGACGATTCCTGCCCTTCTTTTGCTCCATGCTTTAGCTCTGACAACTCTTCCAGAATGTTACAGCCAGCTCCTCCGGTCATAAGACAAGGCCGTTTTAGGACAGCGGAGATGAGATGAGGGAGTCAATCGGACTCTGGAGTCATCACCGCCAACGGAACAGCTCATAGCCTTCTTCTCATTTCTCACAGGAGGCTACAGCTCAGACTCAGAGCACACTGTGTTCCATGGATAATTAATTAATGGATTTATGAATGAAGGACGGACGGAATAATTAATGGCTGGATGAATTAATTTCACCAGAGTAAATGAATGAATTTGACTAGAGTTTTGACGGCAGTTTCTGAACCATCCCGTCCTTGTTCGCGTCCCCCATCCCATTCTTTCCCCTTTCCATGGCTCTGTGATCTAGTCTGGAGCCCTGGAGAGTTGGATGTGATCCCTGCTCCCACGAGTAAGTAGGTCGTGCAGAGTACTGAGCTCCAGATCCACTGGGTTACGGCCAAAGAAGTAGTCCCATTCAAGCACTGATTCGGATTTATTGCTGTGGCAACATTTTCCCCCCCAATGTTTAAATGTAAAGCCCCTGCAGGAGACTAGGATGATATTATGTCTCTCTGTCTCCTTTCATCAAACACCCTGGCTTACGGTACACAAACACACACACAGACATCCTACAGTCTGTGGTTCACACACACTCACCATGCTAGCACACACACACAGTTAACCATGATTTCCCCAGATGGACAAACTGATAGTTCCAGCTGTATGCAAAATTGCATTTTACACATCAGTTTGCCTGGCATGGACAGTGGGGATTGGAGGGGGTAGGGGAAAAACTAACAGAAGCATGGGAAAGGAGGGAGAGGAGGAGGAAGAAGAGGATGTGAGGAGAGTAGAAGAAGGTTAAGCAGCTCAATAAGACCGGGCCTTATGCGGCAAATATGTGGTAGGTAAACTTGCTACCAGGCACATAACTATTATTTTATTGAGTCCCTTTCGTGAAATTTGTCTTACATCTCAAACATAACAGCATCACCACATTGTGCATTTTGGGCAATTCCATGGTAACAGAGTGACGCTGAGACTCACTTTTCACTTTCAAATGTACGACAAGCAAAAACCATTGATTGCAAACCATACACCTATTCGCAGAAGTCTACTTCTAACAATTGCCACTGGACATTTTACTAAAACATTAACTTGAGGAACAGTGCAGATGCAAAGTTTGGTAACAGAATGACAGTAAAATCTCCATACGTTTTTTTATATGACCACGTTTTCCAAAAATTCTTAAATATCTACTCCGAATTAAGACTAAGATGTCTGCAGAAAGAATGGTGTGTCAGCTATGATACGACACCTTGAGTTTGAAAAAATCTATTTTGGTTATTGAGCTACAGTAAGAGAAGTGGATTAACATCCGGTAACAGAATGATGGTAACAGAATGACATCATGGGTCCCTGATCTGTACTATACAGAAATGCATAATTATGAATATCGTTCTCCTCATGGTGATGTATCCTGAATAGGTACACAAAAGGTAGAAAAATGTAATATCCTCCTTTGCATGCTGGGGTATTATTCTACCCACTGGCTATTACCGATTTGGTAGCAGAGCGACGCATTTTAATCACGTCATTATTCCTCATATAACCCAGGTCAACTAATGGGTTAATATTATGTGAAATGTGAGAAAAAAAACAACCAACTAGATTAACAGCCAATCAAAAGTGCACAAATCCTTTAGGTCCCGCCTTTGACAGTTCAATTGTTGCAATCTTGAGCAAGCCTTCTAGAGGAAACAGCATTTTTATGATAAACTTTTTCCTGTTTGTGAAGTCAGAAAACTGCGCTAAAGCTAGAAATAAAACCTATATGTTCTATCAGGTTCAAGTCCGGGCTCTGGCTGGGCCCACTCAAGGACAATCAGAGACTTGTCCCGAGCCACTCCTGCGTTGTCCTGGCTGTGTGCTTAGGGTCGTTGTCCTGTTGGAAGGTGAACCTTCGCCCCAGTCTCATCCTGAGCACACTGGTGCAGGTTTTCATCAAGGATCTCTCTGTACTTTGCTCCGTTCATCTTTCCCTCAATCCTGACTAGTCTCCCAGTCCCTGCCGCTGAAAAACATCCCCACAGCATGATACTGCCACCACCATGCTTCAACGTAGGGATGGTGCCAGGTTTCCTCCAGACGTGACGCTTGGCATTCAGGTCAAAGACTTCCATCTTGGTTTCATCAGACCAGAGAATCTTGTTTCTCATGGTCTGAGAGTCTTTAGGTGCCTTTTGGCAAACTCCAAGCGGGCTGTCATGTGCCTTTTACTGAGGATTGGCTTCCGTCTGGCCACTCTACCCTAAAGGCCTGATTGGTGGAGTGCTGCAGAGATGGTTGTCCTTCTGGAAGGTACTCTCATCACCACAGAGAAACTCTGGAGCTCTGTCAGCGTGACCATCGGGTTCTTGGTCACCTCCCTGACCAAGGCCCTTCTCCCCTGTTGGCCGGGCAGCCAGCTCTAGGAAGAGTCTTGGTGGTTCCAAACTTCTTCCATTTAAGAAT